GGAAAGAGGAGAGGTCAGTTAAAGAAATCAACAATGAATTTACTATACAATCATCAATGAGAAAATTGTATTATTGGAAGTATTTGATATTGACTTCACTGTCTGTAGATATTTTCTTCATTTTTTTCTACTTACCTAGACCTTTTTGTCCAGGGTTTTTAGCAAAGTTAAAAGTAAACTGATAAAAATCTTTGAACTTTGTTGGATCCTTTAGCTCTTGTTCCAGTCTTGGCAATAGAGTTTTTAGTTTTTCTGTGGTGTCACACCTGTTCAGAAGAGGTTACATTATTTGTAAATATTTCTTTTTACTTTTTTTCTTCTGTTTTATTTTTTTAAGGTCTAGTTTCAGAGCAAAATAAAACAGTAGTTAAGATAAAAACAGAGTATCTTTCTGGATAGCATTCTTAAAAATATAAACACTCATGTCTTTACTAAACAATTTTAAGTGGAACATTATATATAGGCATCCATTAAGTATACAACCCAAACAGGATTGAGTGGTTTAACTTCTTTTTTCAGCCTCTTAATGAGTTTAGGAACTCATTGTTTGTTATTCTGTTCTTAAAGAACATATAAACCTCACTGAAATCTGCTATCCTTTCCCCTTTTACAGCTGTTGTAACACACGGGTGTGGGTTTTTGCTTTAATCTAGATAGACATTACCTATTCCCTGCTCTACCTAAATGAAGAGCTGCATATTACGTTTACAGTTAACCTTAACATTAGAGGAATTTCCAACGAAATGAACTGTTATTTGCAGTCATCCTCTCCCCACCATAGAACACCTATGGATAAAACCTAAGAAAAAACAAGCCTTTGACAATAGCTTGAAGGCTGGCAAACTGTTTAACAGCCTGGCACAGGTAAGCTAAGATAGAATCAAGTTACTGAGATTCTAACAGAAGCACACCCCTTAATAACACAAGACCGGAGGATTTTCACTGCAAGCACCCGAGCTGACAAGTTGAAATTTTAAAAGAAAAGGGGTTTCCCTCACGCCAAGGAATCAAATGAATATCCAAGGTTTATAGGACATTACCAATATTTTGAATTGTACCTAGAAACTCAAAGCAAAGGAAATAGGTTTCAAAGAATCATAGAATCATTTAGGTTGGAAGAGACCTTTAAGATCATCAAATCCAACCATTAACCTAGAGCTGCCAAGTCCACCACTAGACCATGTCCTTAAGCACTACATCTACACGTCTTCTAAATACCTCAGCTATCATAACTAACATCTGCATTTGAAAGTTCTCAGTAGCTAAATGTTTGTATTTATTCTAAAGATTCAAGAATAGTTTTATTAAAGGATGGATAACTAAAGCAATATCCATAAAATGCAGATGCAGTTTTAACTGTCTTGCATGGGTCAGATAGTAAGTATCTTTCTGGCCTCCAGCAGCACCTGGCAGAGAAAAGATAAAGAATTCTGCCAACAATCTTCAACTGAGAACTTCAGTTTTATGGAGACTTGATCTAGTTAACCATAGGGACAAATATCATACCTTCGCATATGTATCCTAAAGGTGCTATATGAACTAACCCTCAGGGAATGTCTTCTCATTCCAATCTTCACCTATGTTTAATGCTAAAAACCACAGACACTGCTCCTCCAGCATGTAACAAAATCATCCCAAATTCTCAATAAGCACTATACCAGTGGCAAGCAGGTATGATCAGATTATGCTCCCAAGAGCACAATAATGTGTGTTGAGCAGAAAGAGATAAAAATCACAGACCTCTGTGGAACTGTATCAGAGACAGTCATGAGGACACAGCAGTAAAGCGACAACGAAGTTACAAAACAAAATCCAAGCCAGAAGCCACAGGTGGTTTAGCAAAACCTTTTTAATCAGTTATACCAAATAATGCTGGCAGCCTTTAATATAACAGCATGAGGACTTGATTGCTGTCCATGGCTAGAAAAATCATAATTATTGTTACAGTCTCTACCCAAAGCTACCCAAAGGGACAAAATAAAGCCGTGTACTTCAGATGATATCAAAAGTTATTTCATCACAGTTTCTGAATACCCTTACCTAAAGGAAAGCTTAGAAAGAAGTCAATAACAACAGACTGCTAGGACCCCTGCTCAAGAAACAACCACCCAATTTGCAAGAAGTTGGTCTATTGTAGAAAGGTATTGATAAGGTGCCATTCTGAGATCAAATGAAATTATTTAGCTACAAAAAATATGCACAAGTAATAAACTGTAATTCTCCACCTATCTAATGCAATCTGTTTAAAAAAAATAATCATTTTGACACCTCTATATATTAGAAATACTGCATCTCTTCCAAGGAAAAAGTTATACACAAAACATTATTTTATGGTGACGAATGCTTGCCTTCATTGCTAAACAGAGGCAATGTGGTTTAACCTCAAAGTCTATTATCCAGAACAGCTCCATAATCCAGGAAGGAAAACAATTTTTATCAGTTACATCACAGTCAGACTAAACAACCTTTTCTACTACCAATACCCTCATTTTTATTTCAATTTCTTATAGATATTCTGTACAAATGAAGTATCTAGTATACAAGGCAATAAGAGATAACTATGGTTTGTAAAACTGGTAAAAAGAAAAAAAGTTGCATTTGGTGGTGATAAGGCAAAGGGAAAGAATTGAAGGTTCTTTTCCGCTTTCCTATTTTTCTGCTTCAACACTGACTGAACTTTTTTTTTCCCCCTTCATACATCCCCAGTGACTTCCAGCTTTTAACAGCACACGGTCCAACTGAAAACCTTAACACAACCATGTGTATGTTTGTATGAATTACATGAAAAGATCAGCATATTTGTTTGTTTTCCTTGCTGTACAGGTAGGAATTATTTTGCTTCACTCTTACTGTGGTCACCATTAAGGCTTTGCAGTAAAGCACCAATTTAAGAAAGACGGGACACTACAGGCATTTAGCACCTGTTAAGCTTGGCAAAAGCCCTACCAGCTTTTTGAAACTTCACACTTAATTCAATCAAAAATGCTTTAAATGTAAACAGAGCGCAGACCTTACATTTTGAACTATGCAGAAATGGATACTTACCCCAACTCTGTCATGCCATCAACAAATTCCTTTTTACTGAATTCACATTGAGTAGCTGCCCTGAACTTCCATGCTACAACCAGAACACTGATACTGGCTGGGTCCAGGCTTAAATCATCACAGAACTGTTGAATCCCATCAATGCCAATTTTATTTTCATCTTGTGGGTCTGCAGTTCAAAATACAGAGAGGAGAATTGTAATTATTTACAAAAAATATTTACAAATAATCATCTGCACAGCTTTGATATGCTGCATAACACAGGTCTTCATTTTTTTCATAAGCTTTACAAATGCCTTCACTTGAAATCTTGTTAATTTTAGAAATACCTTGAAGAGTAGCTGTAAATAGATTAAGTATTCTGCAGACTTCCCTAGAAATTGGTTTGCAACTTTGTCCTACATTCATCAGCTAATGTCAATGAAATAGTTTTGTCTTCTCTCCACAATGCCCTATGAAAGATCTGAATTAACTGAGGAGATGCCTGACTAAATCTAAAACCAGTAAGGCTGATAAACATGTACAATACATTTATTGGTTAGCATGTATTAAACTTTAAAGGAAAAACAAAACAAACAAACAAACCCCAACAAAAACACACCTACCAAGTGAGCTCACAGATTTTTTCCTGACAAGGCTATATGATAATCCACTGTAACCATTTAAAGACCACAATTAACTCAAAACATTTTTTATTTTTAATTACAAGTCAGGGAACACCAAAACATTGCTCAAACAATAACTTGGGATAACAGGGTCTTAAGCTAAACAATACAACTTGGGATATATTATGTTTCAGTAGTACTAAGTTTACTACCTTTTTGGATGTCAGAACCACACTTCCTACCTACCTACGTCAGGGTAGATGTCATTGTAACAATTCTGTAACTGTAATAAAATTCTCTCTCAAAAAAAAACCCCAGAACAGACAAACAAACAAAACACCATGCATGTAAACTTAAATAACGACGGGGTGGTGGGGGGGGGGGGGTGGGGGGGGGTAACCCAAAACAACAGCAACAAAAAAATAACAACACCTTTAGTTTTCAAAGCTTGACAGTTTACAAACCACAAAACTTCCCCAGCTTTTGATAGGAAGACATTTCAGTATTTTAAGTTGGGCTATGTAGAAAAGTATCCCTCAAATAAATTTAAGATTAACTCCTTAAACCAGTAAGATTTTCAGTCATGCTATTTTTAAGTCCTTACCCAATGAGTTGATAAAAAAATTAAAAAAAAATTCAAGTCTAAAGAAAACTTTAGGGGGGGGGAGGGGCACAACAGGGACGGCATGTTAAGCTAAGACCTCTTCCACTTTTCCAGCCAATACAGTGGAAGAAATGCTAAAATGCAGAAAGGAAGTTAATTTAGCAAAGATTTATATCCATTAAACAAAGAATTACACCCATGGTATAATTCAGCGACTTTTGAGCAGGAACAACACGTAAACATATCTATTGTACTATGTGCCAGTTCTAGTTCTAAGACATGTAAAATGCGTTTATTATATATTTGGTGAGTAACTGAAGAACCAAAGGCAAAAAGTGCACTAGTGTTGAAATCAGTGGAAAAATTCTGACGGATTTCAACAAGGACGGTTTCATCCTTATCATGTTTCACGTCATCCAGGTAACTAGGAACAAAAATGAAATTGTTTTGAGTTGCTGGATAAACAGACAAGAAAAGTAACACGAAGACAGCACAGAAAATGGAAGACCTCTCATCTCAGATTTCAAATGTAGCACAAGGTACGTAGTATTCTGTAGGCCCTGTAGCACAAAGGAATTCCTTGTTGTTGCAAGGCCAATGACTCAGATTTAAGCTACATATGAAAAAAGGAAAGGTGCTTGAGCAAATCTTTTATTGTTTTCTCTCAAATCTTCTGAGGTTTTGTTCAAGTTTACAACTTTACTTAAGTGTTAAAGTGCTGGAAGTGCAAAGGTGTGCTGCTAACCAAAACAGAGACATAAAACTGACTAGACTTTCTTTCACAGAAGCTAAGTGGTGCAGTTTGCCACTGCTAGAAAATTATTAATAATAAGTAACATCTGTGATTTTTTTTTTTTTTCATTTTAGCTGTTCTTAGTAGCATTTATGAATTTGTATATATTTTTGACTCAGCAATCTCTAAGACTGAGATGCAAGGAGCAAGCAAAAGATTTAGATATATGTGTTATATATATATATTTTATATATATATAAAACAAATCAAAAAACTGATTCTCTAGTTAAGATTTTTTTTCACAAAGGAAATGCTGTGGTGTTGCTGATTCTTTGTCCCTACACAATTCATTACCACAAATAATGAAATATTGAAGAATGCCTATACTTAAAATAAAACACATTATGTGAAGAGTAACAAAAGAAGGTGGAAACAGTATCATAAGAACAGGATAAAGCGTATACAAAGCACGCCATATACTGCAATTAGAAAAGTATGTAAAATCATAGTTGAGTAATTGTTAAGAGTTCATCTTTTAAAATACGAGATGTATGGATCTCAGCAGGGGCTGGTAATGATTCCAGCACGCTCTGCTCTAACATGTAACAAAGAATGCACGCATTCATGTCAGATGGCCACATTTCAGAAAACACTGTTACCTGGATCACGTACATTCTTATATTTACATGACTATATTTTCCTTTTATTTTTTCTGTTCTTCTTAACAATGCTGTAAAATAAAAATAAATGGAAAAGAAACAACTCCACCGTTAATCCACTTCCCTGTGGTTCTCCCTCCAAGCCTCTCTGAACAGGCACATGATTTTTGCTGTAGTATGCCAGCACAAAGAATAAATTAAGGATGGAGTTTCCATGACCAGTTTTTGAGTTTTCTTATTTGACTGTTTTGTCTGACTCCTAGCTACAATGTCATCTGAAACACTTTTGATTTTAACATATAGAAATACTATCTTTGAACAAAATTAACTCCCCCAAATATTAGTGTAAGAGTCATATGTATTATTTTTCCACACAAAGTGCATTGTACATATATTTGGCAATAAATCAAATAAGTTGCATAATAAGATTTAGTCTCCTTTCCACCATATGTAGCTTACACTACTTCCTCGTGATAGGTTTAATTTCCTCTTGTGAATTTCCTTTAAACTCTACAGGAATATCTACAGATGTTGTGTACTGAACATTAAGAGCATTTAAAACCTTTTTCATTCTTATCTCACTACCGCAAACACAGAGTGAGAAGTAAAAGCAAGTCCTTAAGAATGGCAGAGGGAAAAGCAAAAATACCACCCAAACGAAATAATTAGGAAAAAACCAAAACCCGCAACAACAACAAAAAAACAAACAACAAGCAAGCCTTACCTTTGTATCGATTATACAATTGTTCTAATTTCTTCCTGTCTACTGAATTTTTCATGGATTCTTTGTAGTACAAGTCCGGGTTCTGGAAGTAGTTGTCTGTTGCCACTTCTAGTTTCCATTCATTCTGCATTAAGCAGTATATAGCAGTCCTTTCACCAGCCTGGGTAAATGCCATAAACTGGCGGACCTTGTCCTTCTGAGACGATTTAAGCTTATGCTTTGGGATGCAAAAGAAGCAGGAAAGCCAATGAAGCTAATCCAGAAGTTTGGTTCAGCATTCTACTACTAACGCCTATCTTTAAAAGGTTTTAGTTTTCTTGTTGATGACAACTTTCACTTCAGAATTACAGGAAGACAAAGCCTTGTTCTTCTGCAGTTAAAAAGACAGCATTTTCTTCTGAAAACTGAAATGACAGCATCTATATATACATTTTTAGCAGCACATATTCCGGCAGTAACAAATTTGTATTTCTGCTTTATTGCTCACATATGCACAAGTTTTTCTGTTCTGTAACAGCAGTAAACACAAGTTTCATCATATAACAATATGCTTATCTTCTGAAAATATGCCTAGTGGTTATACAAACAAGAAATTACAAAGGCACAACTTATAGGTTCTCAGATTCTGTATAAGCCCTTCATACGCAGAGAAAAACTGCTCAACAGTTTTCCTAATATTTTCCTAGCAACAATGAACAAGGCAAAGTTTAATCATTTTAAGTGATCAGCTGAAAAAGGCAGAAGCATTTCTCACATTTTTATGTTAGCAACCATTGCCGAGAGAAGACATAAGACAGAAAGAAAGCAGATAAAGCAGACGTGCTAGAGATTTGCTGAATGTTACAATGAGACTATAAAGTTGCTGTAAATGTGATCTAAAACTTTAATTAACTCTGAAAAGGATTTTTATACTATTAATACTTTAAACAACAAAACTGCCTATTATACTGGTATACAGGAACCAGTAAGACATTTCTCTTAATGGCAGCTAATTGCAGCAACCATCTCTACACAACATCCCTAAACTTCTGGAAAACCCAAGAGGTGGGAAGAGGGATTTTATAGGGAGCAAATTTGCTATTAACATAGCTCAACATTATGCTTTACATGAAGCTGGAAGGAGACAACTTAAATCAAACTCTGGTTTTTATTATGTTCTGATACTTTCCACTTTTGTTAAACCATACTTAATACATGTTCTGGGCCAACGATTAAGCCAAGAAATTTATCCAAGTTCCTCACCACTGCTTAAATCATCAGGTATAACAGGAAATTTACTGGTCTCTTAAATAGCAGGGTGAAAAACGGAATCCTGATTCAGTGAGCTGTAAACATAGGACCATCTTTCAGGTTACTTGTTATCTCTTGTACACATATGGATGGTGACATCTTGACTACAGATGGTCGTGAGACAAGAAACACATCATGTAAACAAGATAAGGACTTTGGTCTTTCCTACAAGGTTTTTCAATTTTATACGAGAAGAAACACGTAAAGTTTCTTTTTTTTATACAAGAAGAAACATGTAAAGTGGGGAAAGAGCTGTAAAAATAACTACAATGTATTTTGTTGAGAAAATACTCAATAATCCTTTGACTGCCAGCCCCGTGTAACCTTCCCCCTCTCCCCAGTTTTCATTGAAGGTCTAACTACCAGAGTCTCTCTGCACCAAGATCCTCCCCAGTTACGTAAACTTCTTTCCAGCAACCAACTGAGCGGTGCTCACTTCAAAACCGAGGTCTCTGACAACAATTCCAAAGTAAAACCCACATCCTCTTGTAAGTCCGCTTACGCCGGGCATCTAGGGATAATTTCTAGGTTCGAAATGAAACGCCGAGGTATCTGAAGTAAATCGGAGACCAGAAACGCATTCGACTGTCCAATCTACTGCCCTGCCCTGCGGCACGGCTCCTCCCGTTGGGCTGCGCTTACTGCCCGGGGCAGCGGTGCCCGCACGCCCGCTACAGGGCGGGGGGGTGGGGTGGGGGGTGTCTGGAAGCGGCGTCTCTAGGACGGCTCCTCACCCACGGGACCCAAACAAGGGGGCGTCAAGACAGGATTAAGCCAGGTTTTGGAAGCCCTCTGGAAAACGGTAATCGCGTCCTACCGCAAAGCCCAAGGAAGCGCTGAAGTTGAGCGCGCGCAGGCTGCGGCGGAGGCACCGTGCGCTTCCCCGGACAGCTCGGCCGCTCGCCCC